CCAAGAGACTTCGCCCCAGGTACCTGGTCTAAATAAACCCTCTTGCTTTTGCATCTGATCTGTGGTTTCGGTGTGTTCCTTGGGTTTGGGGTCTCTCCCGGAGAAAGATCTCAGCCGGGGGTCTTTCACTCCCATTCTATTGGTGCACTCTTGTTGGCATATAAAATGTACTTTATGTATCTTTAGAACAATTCAATTTCTCTACTAGTAAGAAAACTCAAAGGACCAACTCTCCGCAGGTTTCTTTTTCTTAATTCCCACCATCTTTTTATCCTATAGGAACCAAGTTTTCACTCACTGAAATAATTCAAATAATCAAGATAGCCCAAAATCTTCATCAGCATACCCAATGGTCAATTATCTATCTTGTTGTGGTATAATTCTAAGTTTAAGCGTTGCCTAGTTTTTTTTTTCCCCCCCGTAAAGATTTTGATAACACTCCACTCGCTGCCAACATCAGAACATAAGAATGACTTTTTTGTTTGTTTTTGCTTTTTCGAGACAGGATTTCTGTGTGTAGCTTTTGGAGCCTTTCCTGGAACTCGCTCTACAGACCAGGCTGGGCTCAAACTCACAGCAACCCGCCCGCCTCTGCCTCCCGAGTGCTGGGATTAAAGGCGTGCGCCACCAACGCCGGGCAAGAAGGACTCTTTAATTCACTGTTGTGTCCCCCACACTGGTGTTGAATAAATACAACGGATGAACTGCTTCCCATTTGTAAAGCCAGAGACACGCCAGGCGCTTAGATACATTAACAGGGGGTTCCCAGAATTTCTACGTGCGAGAAAAACCCCAGGCTCCAGCTGGCAGTGAACCACGAATACGTCTGTGCGGTCGGCTTTTTAGACTCAGAAGACCCTAACGCCTGCTCCTAGGCGAGGTCAAGCAGCAGAGACTGTAGACCTTACACTGTCAACGATACCGGGGGGGCGGGGGCTCCCAAAAGGGGTGGGAGCGCAAAGTCGCACAGGGAACACACCCCCGAGGATAAGGCCGGGAGAGAACCTCCTTCGACCGACCAGGCAATGGGCTTCCCGACCTGGGGGCGGAGGACAAGCACTCCCCCCACCCACGCTGCGGCAAGCCAAGCCACCCGCTCGCTTCCCGGCCGCGCAGAAAGCGGGGTACTCACGTTCGCCCTCTTGGCCGCTTGCATCGCCATCTTGGCGGGCTGCTGGAGGCGACCGCGGGGTTCCTCGGAATCTCTCTACAGCTCGGCCGCCTGGGAGGGCGACCCGGCGTCAGACACAGGGTATCGACAGCCAGGCAGACCCGGAAGCCGTTCCGGCGCTGCCGGAAAGCCCGCGTCCCAAACGAGGACCGGTTGACGTCCTCGAACGGAGGCTCCAGACTCAACTACCGGGACAGCGTTCTCAGACCGGAAGGCGCAACGGCGAGCTCCCAGGCACTTCCGGGTACCGGACAGGAAGGGGCGGGGTGAAGGCTACGGGGAGGGGTTCCTGCTTGAAGGGGGCGGGGCCTGAGGAGTGAGGGGCGGGGCCAGATCAGGGGTGCGGCTTAGCGCTGAGGACACCGAGGTGGGCGTGGCGCGTGGCGCGTTTTGTAGGTGCTTAGGCGCGGTCTACAGGATTCTGAATTGTGAACTTGACCCAGAACACTGGTCTGGGTTTCGGGGGTCGCCCCTCATCTGATTATGGCTGCAATTCCTGCTGAGCTCTACTCCTGGCCTGGCTCCAGAGAGTAGCGTCTTGCCCTAATCCGTCTTTTGTTTAACCGATACCTTACGTTTCTCCAGTCGCCCTATGAGTCTTGTCCGAGAGTTTCCCCAGGATACAAAGCCTATGCAAAACTTGGTTCAGGAACCCTCGAAAACCGTGGTATCTGATAAATCGAGGAATTTGCACTTGGCGTTGTATTTCTGGGAGCTCCTTTCGGGTTCTTTGGAGCATATGGAAATCAACTTGCTTAAGTGTAAATATTGGGAAAAATTAAAATGCCCTGGGTGAAGAAAAAATGTTTCAGTCCTTAGAGGCTGTATCCCCCTACAGCCACAAAAGGGTAGATTCATTCTTAAGGTGCCTCTGAGTCTTCTTTCCATGGATCCACATGAACCCACATACCCATGCTGCAACACTTCGTGACACCTGATGGTCCAAACTCCCACCTCATCCTTGTCCACGTGCTAGGTGGCCCCAGAGAACACACCTCCCTTCATATACACTCTTTTTATTTTCGTTAGAGCAGCTTTACGGGGGCGGACCTGGGAGAAGAACCCACTCCAAGCTTCCTCTGAAGTCTTCCTTCACTGGGGCAGCTCCAAGACGATCTTGCCCACGTTCTTGTTAGCCTCCATGTACTCATGGGCCGCTTGAATATCAGTCGCCTGGTAGACTCTGTCCAGAACCGGCAGCAGACGTTGGGGGCTGTCTTTGGAGAAGTAGGGCAGAATCTGCTCCGTGAAAGTTTTCACCAGTGTCTGTTTGTACTGAGAAAAAGAACATCAATTTGAGCAGAGGCCTTACCATGCCACCCCCATCCTGCTTAGCCTTACTGCTGTCTGAACATCTGAAACAGCATACCCCCCTTCACTTCCTATATGAGAGAGCATGCTTTCAAATGTGCAACCATATCTGTTTCAGGTTAAGATTGAAGGCTGCAGTAAAATACTAGTGTAACTGTCAGACGTATATAGTGTCAATACAAAAGGGATGCTTAATTAAGCCTTATCTTCCTCACTGGGTTCAAAACTGATGAACTAACATTCCCAAAGCTGGCACCTTCTAGAACTCTTTAGGAGCATAAATTTGTTGAAGGTACAACTTATTTACCCAATAGGCTTTCTTAGTACACTGAGAAGAGGTCTACCCTGAAAACAAAGCCTTGGACCTATTTGAAGAGTTAATTCTACAGCAGATGTTTTGTTCATCCTGTGTGTGTGTGTGTGTGTGTGTGTGTGTGTGTGTGTGTGTGTGTGTGTTTGTAAGTATGGGAGATGCCAGAGGCTTCTGTTGGCTCATCTGAATTGGTTCTCTGAACACATCTGTCCACAAGGTGGCAGGTTTCCTTATAGGCTCCCTAGGGTGAGCTATGACTGGGTATGTACCAAAAGAGTTTTCTGGGTGACAGTCACACTTTTTCTTTCACTCATTACTCACCTTATTATCCCTAGATCGCAACAAACTAGTGATTAGACTCCCTCGCTTAAAGAGTAGTTTTGAAAGCAGGGGCCCGCTGACGTCTCCTCCTCCTATTAAACCGTAGAGAACCCAGCGACCGTCCAGAGCCAGGCAGTTGATATTCTTCTCCCAATAGGATCCGCCTATGCAGTCTAGAATAAGATCCACTCCAACACCTTTCAAAGGGGGAAAGATGGACAATAAAGTTAGACACAAAAACTGATACAAATAAGATTTCATGGTGGATTTGTGGATATGTGGGTAAAAATAAATGTAGGTGTGGCCTCCCATTGGCGCTCTTGGAGGTTGAGGCGGGAGGATCTCAAGCTCGAGGCTAGCCTGGGGTACAGAGTGAGACCTTGCCTCAAAATAACAAATCAATACAAGTGCCGATGGCAAGTGTAGATGGAACTAAAAAATTGGCCATAGAAATATTGTTGTTAGGCTGGGCAGTGGTGGCGCACACCTTTAATCCCGGTACTTGGGAGGCAGAGCCAGACAGATCTCTGAGTTCAAGGCCAGCCTGGGCTACCAAGTGAGTTCCAGGAAAGGCGCAAAGCTACACAGAGAAACCCTGTCTCGAAAAACCAAAAAAGAAAGAAAGAAA